CCTGTCGTCACACGGTGGGGTACATGGTTGGATGCTGTGGCATATTATTGTGAAAATTACACAGCCATTGAGAAAATGTTTAATGGCTTTGACAGCAGTGAGTCAACATCAATTAAAGCTGTCAAGGACTTATTCTCTACCACCCTAGCACAAACTCTGGCATACATAAAGTCAAACTTCTGTTCAATTTCAGGTGCAATAACTCGCCTGGAATTTGTAGGGACTGAACTCTGTGACGCGTTGGACACTGTAAAGAGCATTGAGAATGAACTAAACCGAACTCGTGGTGAAATAAGTGACAGGATTAAAACCAAAATAGAAAGTGTTCTTCATCGGAATGCTGGTTATTCAACATTATGCAAGATTGCAGATATACTTTCCGGTAAACTAGCAACATTCGAAGATTATACAGAACTGTCACCAGACGACTGGACATTCTTCAAATATGCTCCTGTCACATCATGTGATGTGGGACGAAGTTTTTCCAAATACAAAACTATTCTTAGTGATAATCGGCGATCTTTCAAATTTGAAAATTTGGAAATGCATGTAGTTATAAATTGCAATTGTAACAGTGAAAATTGAGACGTGAATAGCTTGTCTTCTTTTAAATGGTGTTTTTAGATAACAGAGTTAAGTTGGTGTTCATACCATGTGCACCAGTGTTTGTCTAAAATATGAACGCAAATATCAGTATTAAAAAGAAAACAATGAATGGTTTAATCCAGTACGAAATGTCGAAATTCCATCATATTTCTTTCCTTCAGAGACATACTAGGGCTAATTTGGTAAGTAGGACCTACTATCATATAGTCATCATCTTTATTCTTAAACTCTAGTAAAAGTTGTAATTAAAATTGTGAAATTTTATGTCCCATTTAATATTTAAGGTCATATTTTACACTTTTTAAGTCATATTTGACATAATTTTGGGTCATAAGTTCAAGTGACTAGACTGCTGTGAAAGGTATTACTACAAGAAATAGGGCATAATCTGCTGTACAATGCCTGGGTTGACAGAAGCCTTGTATATATTGTACATAGAAGGTACAAATGTGGATTTGTAAATTATGTAAATACAGACAGTGGACTTCTTAAAACAGACTGACTGACAAATGACAGACCTGACCTCTCGTCAGAGAGGACGCCCCAAATGGACAGGACAGCAACTATCACAAAGAAGAAAACATCTGGTCATGAGCCCCAGCTGGGGCTCGACACCAAGACAGACAGACTGACTGACCGTCAATTGTAACATGACTTTGACTTTGACTTACATTAATCATCAGGATTGGTTATCAACTGTTGTGGAGAGCAGACGCATGATAAGATATCAGGACGATTTTGGAAGGTGAGAGCTTGAGAGACAGGACTGAATGCCGACTGAAGATTGTCTGTTTGACATCATCAAAGTGACACTTCATCGCCAGTTTCGGTGTTGGAGCGATAATGGTTAGTTTGCTGTAGGATCGAGCAGATCGACTGGAAGTCAAGTGGTTATTAGCAGTGAATCATTGAGATCGGACAGGACTGGTTTGAAAAAGGAGAGATCGGTTGACCCAGTGACAGGATTCTTCAATTCATTCTTAGTGAAGCCAGGAGAACAGCTACGTGTTAGGAGGTCGGACTGATCATTGAACAAATTGCTTGTGGTTTCAGTGCGGGCAGTGAGTTGTGTCTTACTATCTTCTAGTCTTATACGTCAATACTCGGCTGGGTTGTTGAATCTATAAGTGCCGAGCCAGAGATGGCTGGCATCCCTGTGCCGGGGTACTAGGAATTCTGAGCCGAAAAACATGCCGCTCTACAGGCCGAATTTAAAGAAATTATTAAGCAATACCCCGATGCCGAAACACAATACAGGCGCTTATTCGACATTCTTTGCAGCATTGAGGACGTGGCCGGCTTCTCAACTGCTGCAATTGGAGAAAGTGAAGAATGGGCGGCAATAGTCAGCACCGCCGACAACAATAGGATAAATTACTGTAAGGCCCCCTCCAGCAAGATGCTGTTCAGTGTGCTCTATGGCAACTGTACAGTCACGCTGAATGAGCTGAAGTCACTGGTAAAGGCCAGCGCATGAAGCACAAATATTCCAGCCTGGGAGGAAGGCTTCAAAGAAGTCTGGAGGCGGAAACAGCAAAGTACCGCTGAAACCGCACCGACTCCAAAAAAACCAATGGCAGCAGTCGAAAGCAACCCTAAACCAGAGTTTGCCACCAAAAACTACTTCGCCCCCCTCAGGGAGGCAACGATGGAAACGGACACTTCTGGTACAGAAGCCACTACGCTGGAGGAGGGAACCTCAGTAAAGCAGGCAAGCCCCACCCCCCAATAATTCTAACAACCACAGTGAACCTCATTCACTTGCAAAAACAACTAAAAAATGTGGTTAAAGGTGACTTTGAGTTCCGTAATACCAAAAGCGGGACCAGAGTCATCACTAAAAGCATAGCAGATTTCGAAGCCGTCAAGTCCCAACTATCCAACAACAAACTTTCCTATTTTACCTTCTTTCTAAAGTCAGAAAAACCCATTATGGCTGTAATCTGTCACCTCCCCACAACACCCAGGAGGAAGATATTTCTGATGGATTGGTGACCCTGGGATTTGATGTGGTTAGCGTCAAGCAGATGACAACCACCCAAGGGTCGCCTTCAAAAGAAAGGATAACCAGAAACCTTCCCCTTTTCCTTATCACTTTACCCAGGACGGAAAAATCACAAGAAATATTCAAACTACAAAACCTTTGCCATATCTCTATCTGGGTCGAGGCTTATAGGGCACAGAGTGGCCTTACGAAGTGTCACAACTGCCAACAATTTGGCCACGTCTGGGCTAATTGTAAGCAACCTCCCCATTGCATGTGGTGCGGGGGTGGCCACCTGCACAGAGAGTGCCCTGAGAAACAGAACGCTGCCTCCACTCCAGCATGTTGTAACTGTGAATTGAAGGATGGAGAGAAACCACATCCCGCTAACTATCGTGGCTACAGTCACGCGAAGGAGGAACTGAAGAAGAAGAAATTGCAGAGAGCACCCAAAACCACAACGGGAAGGGTGTTCTCATCAAATATCATCACCCCTGGAGTCTCCTTCGCGGCGGCTCTCCGAGGCAACACATTACAGGAGCGACAAACACCAGTGGCAGTTCCACCAGCAGCCACGAAACCGAGCGTCCCGATCCCTGTACTGGAACAACACGCAGGTCAGTCAGTTCAGGCTCCTAATGTAAACAGTCAGTCTCTCGACAATATGTTGAGAGTAGTGACTGTAGTACAGCAAATTATGACAGAGGTCAGTGGTGCAGTGTCCGAGGAGGACAAAATAATGGTCATAACTAAAACTGTTCTATACTTAATGAAACAAAATGGCCACTAGAATTCATAGGCCCCACAAATTCATAGCATTTAATGCAAACGACATTGGGAGGCAGCGCTATGAGCTCAGTAAACAGCTGCAAGGCCTACACATAGATTTGGCCCTGTTTTCAGAGACACATCTGAAACCTCATGAGAGGTTTTTTTTTCCAAATTACCACTTTTATAAAATCGACCGCCACTTGGGCAGAAAAGGCGGAACTGCCGTTGCAGTAAGAAAAGGCATTCCCCAAAACCATGTAGACCTACGACCCCTTGTTTCAGTAGAAGCGACAGGGGTCTGCATACCAATTGGTAATAGCGAAGTGCTGCTTGCGGCTGTTTATAAATCTCCAGGCAGAGCCTGGAGTAATACTGACATCACTGAGCTCTTAAGCTTCAGACGTAAGTCTATTTTGGCAGGTGATTTGAATGCTAAGAACCCATTTTGGAATAGCAGAGTTTCAAACCCCTCAGGCTTGAAACTCGTTGATTTATTTGATAGGAGTGATTTCGAAATTTTAGCACCAAAGTGCCCCACTCATTATTCCCCTTTGGCAAATGAAAACGTGTTAGACATTGTGGTTCACAAAAATATCAGAGTGTTAGATGTCATCGTCTCTGATATTTTGGACTCAGATCACCTACCAATACTGCATACGTAACAGGAGCAAAACACAACACAGAACACGATACACAAATATACGTAGGAAGAATGCACACATAAAAGAGGATTGGCGTAATTCACGTGTTTGAGCGTGACGTAGGAAGAATCCTGAAAAGTTTTATTATTTAGAATTCATCGTCCTATATGACGGATACAGATTTTAGTCATTTTAGAATGAAGACATTATGGCATGCAGTACAATAGTTTAACGTGCATAAAGACACCTGAAGATGGCACATTAGTGCTGAAACATGTAGTGTGGAAGTGAAGAATAAGGTGAAAAGGTGTATACACTGTAAGACGGTCAGCATAAACCATAAACAGGAATCAGTGTAACAGGACGTTAAAATATAACATTATATGCAGGGGTCAGGTTTACAGAGTCTAGTGCAAACCCTCCTCAGTAAGCCTACAGTATATAACCCAAATATGCTAGTTTAATAACACATTACTTGATAATATTGAGATAGTACGAGGTTTGCCGCAATGCAGCCTCAGTGACCTTAGAAGATTATTTCCTGTTATGTGATCTGTGTATATGTATGTATTAAGATATGTCAAGCATAGTTCATATTCAAGAAGTCCCAAGTTTGATTCTCATCCTGAAGGCTTCTTGTCTTGAATAAGATCCTTCCGTGATTTTCCTAAATCCTCCAGGCAAACGCCGAGATAGTTCCTAATACATACCCTAGTGACATCCTTGCAGATCCTTCCGAATTCGTAGTTTCCATTCGACTTTGAATTCAACACTCTATGTACTATGCAAACTAAGTGACCATTGTTAACTAAGCTGAGAACTATTTCTTTTTTGACACTTACTGCTTTGTATTTTGGATAAAATTGTCTCTTGTATTATTTAGCCTTAACTAAGCAAACTGGTAATTTTCCATACCACCTAGGACTGGGCTTTGAAATAAGATGGCTGATGGAAGCATTGTTTTATTGTTTGCCGATATTGGCAAAGGAGCATGTTCACACCAGTCCATGCCCTCAGTCCATGAATGACTTCAGCGGTGCAGTAAATTGTGACTACGCGACCTTGATGGATGACCAGCAGTTGCCATATGTGCAGGCACCTGGATTAGAAATTACCAGCATACTGAGGGACAGTCCTGATGTTGCCAGCCTGATAGAATTTGTTCAACTGGAGCTCCCAAAATGGGATTTTTAGTTTCAATTAAATTTAATAAATGCTCACTAGGCAAACTAAGAAACAGTTATTGAATAAGCTTAGAATTACTTCTTTTTTAACACTTGCTGCTTTGGATGAAATTGTCTCTTCTCTTAATTAGCCTTAACTAAGCACACTGTTAATTTTCCATACCACCTAGGACTAGGTTTTGAAATAAGGGTGCTGATGGAAATATTGTTTTATTGTTTGCAGATATTGGCAATGGAGGATGTTCACACCAGTCCATGCCCTCAGTTCATGAATGATGACAGCGCCCAAGAAAATTGTGACTATGTGATGTTGGTGGATGGCCAGCAATTGACATATGTGCAGGCACCTGTATTAGAAATTACCAACATACTGAGGGACAGTCCTGGTGTTGTCAGTCTGATAGCTTTTGTTCAATTCGAGCTCCGAAAATGGGATTTTATGGATAAATTAAATTTAATAAATACATATTTTAGACTACAGAGTGTTTGTTTATTTGTGTTTTAAAATAAATTGAAATGAATAAATAATGTGTCTTTAACCGTGGCAGTTACTCAGGCAAAGTTCTTGTAGCGCATGGCTAGAATGTTTGCATGTTTGTATCTTAGAAAAATTAACCACTGAAAGTCTGCAATGTTTAGAAACATCGATATATTTTTTGTGCACAAAATCAGGATGACCATTTTCTAACTCTAAAATAGGAGAAAAGGCATAGTCTTTTATTTGTGTACATGTAATTTATGGTGGACACTGTATGAATATAAGAACATTTTTAAAGTATGCCAGAAGTTCAAAGAAAAGTGGGGATAGATGAGATTGAAATGCTGAAATATGTAGATCATGGATTCTGAGAGCTGAAAGTGAAGTGATGGAGGTTAAACATAAATAACCGAAAACAGGCATCTCACATGAAGTATGCGAAGGTTTGTCACATCACGGAAGCATTGGAAGCTGCTATCTATATACCTGTGTTTGGCGATTGTAGCACAGTGGCTACACTCATGTGTTACGTGCCTTTCTTATGAGAATTTGTAATAATGTAGTAATTAGTATCAGGAAATATCCCGTTCACACGCGATATGAAATTTTGTCATAAAGTGGAACAATTTTAGCGAGATAGAAGACACCCAGTGATGGTGGTATACAGCTGAATCCCGTAGTGTGGAAGAAGGGTGACTATGTAATATGTTGCATTTAAGACGGAAATGCAAGTTAAATAAATGATAAATTAATCAATGGGATGCTTAAATTACTATATATATTACATACTTCACAGAGAAGTACTAAGAAGACCGATGAAAATCAATCACAACAATCAAATTGATAGCTGCTCTAATACCACCTTACTTGCCAATGGACACCAATGATCAACGACACTGATTTTAAAAAATCTTTTCCCAGCCGGGAAATAGAATAAATAAACAGAAATAAATAAAAGTGTGTGCTATCAGATATACAGGAAAATACATATAGAAAAATAAATAGAAGTGTATATTATCAGAGCTACACAAACTAACGTTCACGACCGGTGGGGATCGAATGAGTTAACCTAGATGCAGGGTTCTTGACTAGTAGGCTATAGTGGAAGGGGAAATATACAGCCATGCCATGATCGCATGAAGTGCAACTTAAACACCAAAGTCGACGGCAGTACGTATATCTGAAACGTCAGTATGCTCTTAAGAGACTAAGAAACATGATTCCTCAAACTTCATTGTTGATGCCGGTAGCATTAATTTTTCCCCAAAATATAGATATCCCCTAAGATGAAAGAATTGTAGCCCTACCACAGATCTGTGCAATTAAAAACTGTGCTCAAGACTTTGATCAGTTTAAGCAGAAGCCATTACAGGTAGCAGCCAGGCTGACAAATATTTCTCAGTTCACTGTTGGGTAATGTTCCCTGAACTTAATTTGGGCTTTTAGTTACCTGATTACTTCACAACGCTAAACAGCAGTTGTTCTTCTCCATCATTATATTTAACAGCAATAATATCAGAGGGATCACAGCTATTAATTCCCAAGACCTTTATCCTACACCCACAAGCACAAGACTGCTGATTTGAATGAGCTGAACCAACTGGCTAGCCAATTAAAATCAGGGCATTGTACCGATCTGCTTCATAATTGGGTGATCAATCAACCAATGAATGCGACTACCATGTAGCAAAACTATATGAAATATGTAATTTCGTTTTGTTCTATAGATACGTATCATGAAGTCTGGTTTTAGCATCCAAGGCCATCCATGAGCAGCGAAGTTCCTAGCTGTGTTTTGTCATGACCATTGAAGGACATACTCGTATTTACTTGAAACCAAATCAGAACAAAGTTTTATGAGATCTGGAATTTGGCACTGAAAATGGATGTTTGTGCTTCCCTCGATTCTGTGGTAAATGAGAATAGAGAAAATCACAAACCTGAAGGTTCATTACCGTGTTGACAAGAGCCCTCCACTGGTCCCTATCCCGAGCAGATCAGTCTGATCAATACCATCCCAACCTATCTCTCTAGGATCCATTTCAATATTATCCACCCACCTATGCCTTGGTCTTCCCTGTGGTTTCTTTCCTTCTGGCTTTCCCACCAATTTCCTATACGCATTCCTCATCTCCCCCATTCATGCTACATGCCCTGCCCACCTCATCCTCCTTGATCTTATAGCAATAGCTGAATATAAAGGTTGCAGCAATGCTCAAGTGAGTTCACAGCGGCTACTTGTCCAATCAGAGATACGACACCAAAGCACCTAGTGTCAAATTTGTGGCGCAATTAGTTTTGCTTGAGTGAAGTCTGATAGTAGTAGTAAGAAGAGGAAGGCAGTTTTATCAGAAGTTTTCATGATTTAAGAAGCGTGAGAGAAAAGAAGAGTATATATTACATGCTTTGTCTTGCATTGATGTATTAGGATGTGATTTTGTGTGCATGCATTGTTGTTTGAAGCCACACGTGCAATCAGTCCATAAAGCATGTATTAAATATATCGGTGTTGACAATTATGTGGAGGATGAACAACAAATAATTTCAGATTTCATAATTTCTAGGGTAGTAAATAACAGTTCGACCTACTTTGTGGTAATACACTTCAGGTGTTGGGCACTAAAATTTATGAATGCCCTGATACACATTATGGTTGCCATCCCAGGCCCACAAACATATCACCAGTAGATCGTTCATAAAATGCAAACATAAATAACGAAGTATAGAGCGGCTCTCATCAAACAAATATATTGCACTTTATAAATGGAAGCTGTGGTGTAGATGTACATCTGTTGCTCCTGCCAGGAAATCGAAACTTGACTGTGAACTGTGTAGCCAGTAGTTGACCCAACTCCTACTGTTGGAAATTATACATGGAAATTGATCACTACATTGTGTAATCATTATTTGTATCTCTGTTAGTCTCATGATATACGTGTAGACTGAAGCATTTGAGGAAAATGAGTATTTCAATTTGTGGCCAGCCAGTTCTTCTCAATGCTATACAGTGTGCGTTCAACTAGTATAGGTGACATAAGGAAGCTTCGTTTTCATTTGTTGTGTAATGCAGTAAACCCCTTTACACTTAGAAAAACCAGTATATGTTAACACTGTAACATGTAATTCATCTACGTATATGTGTAACCGACAGATCAGGTTATGACTTTAAGATAAATGAAAGAACAATTACGATTGACCATATTTGCACACTGATGTGACGGAACATGTCCATCTTGCTCACAGCCCAAATCGAGACTGCTTAGTGTCACAGACATTAAGTCAACGCATCCCTCTTTGTTGCTTTGAAAAGAAAGGTTTCAAATTTACAGCTTCTAATTGGCTATCGGCAATGAGGTGCACATAATTGTTGACTGCACAAGCAGCAATCCCTTTAGAATTGGGGCACTTTCTTCTTTACTGTTCATGGTGCATACTGGGCTGTTTGAGGATCTGCCTCCTCACACCTCAGAGATCTGAAGAAAACCAGGAGCACCCTCATAGTGTGGGTGAAAGCTTTAAGTTGGCAAAAGGAAAGCAGAAGGATATACAATTCCTTAGAAATCAGAAGCCCAGGGGTGAAAATGTTGTCTTTACAGAGAAGATACAAAGTAAAATAGATGACTAGACATAATCTCCTTTAGCTTAGGGAAACAAATATGGGTATGATTCCTGGACTTTTACAGCTACACTGTTCCTTTCACAGCAGTGACCTAGTTTGGCACAGGCCACCAACCCAAAGGCGATAGATACTTCATCAGAGATTTACTTACTGTGACCTCATTCAACTGTCGTATCTCATGGGAGCTGCCTTGTTATTGCATGGACTAAACAGTAGTGACAAATACAAAAGACAAGTCCGTCCAATGAGACTATTTCAGTTTTCTCACTTGATGATTCACTAGCCTTACATGTTTCGATCCATTTGGATCATCTTCAGAGGCACCAAACACTTCTTAGAAACCACTATCACAATAGTTGTCATATCAAATATACATGTATTGTCCAAGTATGCAATGTTCCATCTGTCAGTCACAGCAGCCTTTCTAGTTATAGAAATATTTCAAGTTGTTTTAAATTTTTTAAAAACTTTGTTAAAAATTAATTAAAATTCATAAAACATACAGGTTCGTGTCAATAACCCCTGTCGTCTCTCTTCAAGGTGGCCGATGTTGTGCCGCCTATGTAACTTGAGTAGGGAGATTTTGTAAATATATTATGGGTACTGTATTAATATCAGCGATCCTACTATATATATAGATATATATATAATTTGTATATATATATTTCAAGGTTTTTGTTCTACCTTAATATAGTCCGTTATGATTTCTTGCCCCGCTGTGCTGTTTATACTGTTCTAGTGTCAAAGTCAAAGTCATGTTACAACTGATGGTCAGTCAGTCTGTCTGTCTTGGTGTCGAGCCCCACCTGGGGCTCATGACCAGATGTTTTCTTCCTTGTGAAAGTTGCTGTCCTGTCCATTTGGGGTGCCCTCTCTGACGAGAGGTCGGGTCTGTCATTTGTCAGTCAGTCTGTATTAATAAGTCCACTGTCTGTATTTACATAATATACAAATCCACACTTGTACCTTCTATGTACAATATATACAAGGCTTCTGTCAACCCAGTCATTGTACAGCAGATTATGCCCTATTTCTAGTAGTAATCGCTATCACAGCAGTCTAGTCACTTGAACGGTCGTATGCCTGACTGCCGCCTCTTATACTTTCTGTGGCTGGCTTCGCCTTGTCCAATGTTGT